TCATGACAGCAAAAGATTTCATAATGATTCTTGATGGACTGACTACTGTCAGCAGTGAAGCAGTTACCCCATAAACAGGCTCAACAATGAAGATAGCCTGATGGTCCACAGTGTGAGAGAGTTTTGGGACAGCTGGCAGATCTGTCACTTGTCCTATCGGGTCAATTGCTGCGCTGTCACTTTTTTTTTTTTTTTTTTAAGAAATTAATACATTCAAAACAGATGGATCAAAATTATCAAAAGTTTGAGTTAAGACATTTATAATATAATGTTACAAAACATTATATTCTATTTCAAATAAACCCTTTTCTTTTGAAAATCTTATTAAATAATCTTGAAAAAATGCACTACAGTTTCCACAAACATAAGCAGAATTTTTTTTTTCCAACACTGATAATAAGAAATGTTTCTTAAGCACAAAATCAACATAGAGTGATTTCTGAAGGATCATGTGACACTGAAGACTGGAGTAATAACTGCTGAAAAACTTGCTGTCATCACATAATTAAAATAAATTTTATTATGTTTTAAAAAAGAAAACTTTTAGCTGTAATACAATTTCACAATATTACAGTTTCTACAGTATATCAAATAAATGCAGCCTTGGTGAGCATGAGAGACTTTCCAAAATCATGAAAAATCTTACTGACCCCAAACTTTTGTACAGAAGTGTATATAGTAAGTCAAGTCACTATTCAAAAGTAGAAACTCAACAAAATATTTGCTGTCAAAGCACAGCAGTTAATGAAAACTATAACTATATTTTTTCTGACTCACACAGATGTGTCACTGAAAATAAAATGGATTATTGTGTCATGTGGTGAAAATACTAGTAGGGCAAGTAGAAAATCTGAATTACTGGCCTGAATGAGCCAGCAGAAAAGAAAAATCCTTACTCGAGCCCTGCCTATCATTTTTATCTAGTGTCTGTCTAAGCACTATACATGCTTTTTGCAAAAAAAAATATATATAGAAAGTACAAAGCAGTTCACAAAAACAAAACAAAAGCAAAAATAAAATAAATAACCTTTCAAAGAATCTTCACACAGTTCATTTCTATACAAGGAAAGCACCAAAATCAATAATGGAAAAATGCACTGTATTCTATAAATACTGTAAATGCACTAAATGCAGGTTATGCACTAAATTCCAGTCATACTGAAAGCTATGAGGAACAGATCAAAAGTAAGTCATTATTCAGCAAGGTGCAAACTCAAACTGCAGCAAAAACCACTGAGACTGTTAACTGAACTTAAGAAACGGATCGGTGAATAAAATCTGGATTCTGGTTCTTTGCAATTACCTAGTTCATCCAGTTCACAAATCAATTTATAATCTCACTGAGTGGCAAGATTATCAGTGAATAATCATATGACTTGTAATATAGAGCACAAGTCATATGAACTAATTTTGTGCTATTTCCAATTTATTAGCAGTCGTCACTGATTTGCATGAATATTCTTCAAAATATTTCATTACCGGTTTTGGAATGACATGAGGGTGAGTAAATGATGACAGAACTCACATTTTCAGGTCAACTATCCCTTTAACACAGAACTGCAGCGCCATCAAACATAAATCTCACTTAACTGTTGGCACCAGCACATATTGCAGCATAGTAACAGAGGAAAGGATGGCCTACATCACAGGAAGATGAAAAAAGAGGGGGAAACCCCTACACCTCAACCACAGTCACAACATGTCTACAACATACTGCAGGACCCAAACCGCACTGCTCTCTTCACTCGATTGTTTCTTGAATTACCCACATTGATGAACAACAATGGTGCTTATTGAGCTATATTAAGGACGACACTCTCTCAACAGAGCAGCAGCAGATAAAGCAACACAGAATTGGTTTTGTTTTGTTTTATTAAAACATTTACCTTTGTTTCTCATAGGTAGACCCTAGGCTATCAGTAAATCACACCGTCTCTAGTCTTGCTTGGGGGACATCTGATAAGCAAGGCACTTCAAATCCCTGAATATTTCCTACAACACCAAATAATCCTCACTGTGACCATCTCCATTATCACAAAGAAATCAGTTTGGGTTGCAAAACAATTCTTCCTTAGCACAATCTCACAACACATTTTAAGGCTCCTGGGAACACAGAGTCAAAAGGTTCTGTGTGGGAAACTGAGAGATACTGTGGAGGTGAATGAACTCAAGGGGGGCAAACAGGATGGGACTTGATGTAAACCAATTTGGTCATCAGTTAAGACTTGCCTTTAATTAGACCCTGATGACTTCCAGAATGCCATAGGAAATAAACAGTCAAGACAAAGACTTGAAGTAATTTTCCTAAACAATGCCCCGTCTAATTGCAGAGGTCCAAAATAAGGCACAGTGCACAAGGCTCTTTTTTTTTCTTTTAAATACAAATAAAGGCAGGCCAATGAGGGAGGACCTGTTAGATGAAGCAAAATAGCTCTCGTGGAGACTATACTGGCTTTTCACAAGCACAAACATCTCTAACATGCCAAGTATGCTTTAGGAACTCAATAGTATCTATATGTTATGCTGGGCAACTGGAAGAGTATGTCTTAAATCAAGTCAGTAACATATTTGAAACTGGTTATAACATGCTGGTGGCTACTGACAGCTCAAATTGAACATGCATGCTTATTTCTAAGATGAATCTTCCTCTTTATTAAATGACGTGTCCGCATACATGAAGACATTACATCTGTAATAACTGCACACTACGCATACTCAGCTAGCCTAGCTTTATGTGCATTTAGCATTCAGGTGACTGAATGCTAAATGTTAAAAGTTACCAAAATGTGACCGATCTAGTTGTTTCAACCTCTTTATGCAATACACAAAAGAACTTACGTGATGTTAATGTTTTCTTTTGGTTTAGCATGTAAGCTAACCATAATAACTAAGCTTTGCTTACTAGTTCTATGTGGAAGAGTGAAATAGGTTACTATTTGAAGTTTATCCGGTTATAATAACCAACATTATGGATAAACAGTCAAGGGCTGTTGTGGTTTTAATACACAAGCCACAACTGTAAATGTAGCTAATTCAGCAGCTCGCCATGGCAGATTAGCAAGCAAAGCAAAAAAGGAGAAAAAAATGCCTTCAACCCTACCTGAGTCAAGTTGAATGCTCCTCTCTTCTCTTCTTGCTCATAAAACGAGCCTAAATCCGAGCCAGCGACTCCTGATATTTGCTTAGCCGAGAAAATTCTCTCGCACTTTTCTTTCGTAGTGTTATTGAGTAAAAAAGCCTCTGCGCGTCCCGGGTTCATACACACATACAAACACATATGTGAAGCGCTAGCAGGCTGCTAATACTTTTACGTTACACCATCCGTCCTACATTACTCGCTTTTAATGCCTCGTTCAACAACAAAACAGCTCAAATAGAGTCTGTGCTCTTCGCGTTCAGTTTGCCGTGAGCAAATATTACATGTAGTGCTGTATCCTCTTATTCAGTAAAACAATGAGGGGAGGGCTAAGCGTCAGGATTCGGTTAGCAATGTCGCTACGCCATCTATCTGCTCGAGCTCAGATGAGGCATAGAGCAAAAAGGTCCAATCAGTCTTCTGCGTCGGTTGAACCTATGGGCAAAACGTAATGAAGAAATGCGTTAAAGCCATTCGCTTTTTTTCCCCGCATATTTGTAACATATATATCTACACTGTCTATCGTTCAAAAATTTGGTCAGTAAATTTTATATATATATATATATATATATACAAATATAAATTAAATAAAAATATAAATAAATGAAAATATAAATAATTATAACACATTTTTTTATTATATCACCTAACAGCTTTAATAATATTATATATTAAAGTTCTATAATATTCTTATATCATATATAATTCTTAATATTTTAAGAATAGAATTAATATAATTATGTGACACAATTCTTAATAATATGTCCACTAGGTGGCTTCAAATGGATGGCCTGCAATTTCGCGTAAATTTTTATGACGTCATTCATAATCTATGCAAATCTGAATGAAGCTGATTTAAAAAAATATATATAATAATAATAATAAAATGAATGAAGTGTAATACCACAGGCTGTACTGACAGCTGACCGAACACACAGCCAGCTGCGCCACTTTCTGCACTTTTATCTCCCTTTAATCTGCTCCTCTAATCAGATCTCTTGTAATTTGTACCTCTTTGTACTGGGCACAGCACTGAATGCACACTAAGCAGAGAGCCAGGTGGTATATTGAACCAAAACTTTTAAAGACAAGTAATTTCCTGACAATTAAAGGTGTTATATAGCCCACTGAATCATACTCAGACTTAATGCTGGCAGCAGTGGAACCACTTGGGAGCGAACTGCCAGGTGACTTATTTCTTAGCATAAAAATAAAAGAGGACAATGGTACAAGAGAATACCAAATTATTGTTTTAAGTGTGAAAATATAGCAGAAGTAGCACCAACATTCAAAAACAATGGACTTGTGATAAGGCTCCTGAAATAATCAGGTCTTCACTTTAAATTTTTTTAATCTGCTCCTCTAATCAGATCTCTTGTAATTTGTACCTCTTTGTACTGGGCACAGCACTGAATGCACACTAAGCAGAGAGCCAGGTGTTTCTTAGCTAGATGTGTTTCTGTGAACTCATGTGCTGTCAAACAGCATCTGCAAATAGGGTGTAAATCACACAAGACATTAATAGCAGAATAAAACACAGTTACGATCTGTGGGACTATACATTATAAGCCAAAATGAGCTTTGCTTGTCCATCACCTGTAAACTTAAGAAAAGTTCAACAGTTTTATAGTGGTTCAACATGAGTTGATGTAACTTTAAATCTAAATTACATTGAATCAAAGATAATACGATGTTATATTCCGCTGTTTCATTTACATCTCATCAAAAGGGGCATTGAAGAAAAGTTAATATACTGGGTGGGTGTTCGAACTGTCTAGGTCCCTCCCAAAGAGTGGGCTGGTTTTGGGAAGTCTATAATATGACAGGATACATCTATTTTCTCCTCAGCAGTCCTGAGGCAGGAAACCCAGGGGTAGCACCCAGTGAACATCCCCCTTTCGTTCTCCCTTAGCCTCTCTCTCTCAGACACATCCATACTTACTGGTGCTGATCCATACAGCTGGTGGGATGCTGACCTTTCTGAGGGGAGCTGTGCAGCCGGTGACTGTCAGCAGGGCAAGGGATATTGTCCAGAAACGCAACTCCAGCATCTACAGCAAACCACCCAAAAACAAGATCGGACCTGGGGTGAGTGAAATGATTACAAAATCCTAAAAGGTTTCATAGATTCATGGGATCAGCCAACGTTATAACTGAGGTGAATGGAGATAATGGGATTAACTTGGATGACTCCTTGTATTGAAGAATATAATCCTTGTGGTTAGACAAGAACAGAATAACAATGTCAAATCAAGCAAACCATCCAGACATCATATTGGTTCACATAGTTAGTAGTATAAATATAGTCATTATATAACTGTTCAAAGGTTTGAGGTCAGTATGATTTTCATTTCTTGACTGAAATTCATTCTTTAATTCAGCAAGAATGTATCCTGAGGTGAAAATCCTTCAGTGGACATGTATTTCACTCAATCTTAACACTCTTGAGCAGCTGTGAGAGATTCTGTAGGGACGAGCTGAGCAACACTCCCCATTAAAGACCAGAGCATTCAAGGAGGTCGTCCTCCACGATTTAAACAGGACAGATGTGAAAATTTGTCATGAACTCGTACACTCAGTGCCAAGAAGGGTCAGAGCAGTGTACTTTAAGTTCTGGAGGACATACTAAGTACTAGAATATTATACATTTTCTGAATTAAATCTAGGGTGTACTCATTTCTGCAATCCTTCATTTAAACAAAATTGTCTAATTTACTTATCTTACAGAAAATATTGGCATATATTTTGTTGTTTTTATTAAGTATATGTTTAATATGTTTAAATTTTGCCATCTTTCCATGAATTATATTAATTATATTAGTGATCATTAAGAAAATACATCTTTTATATTTAATCAGAGGGGGTGTACTCATTTATGCTGTGCACTGTATATATATATATATATATATAACTGTTTAAAAGTTTGGGGGCAGTATTGTTTTTAAAGAAATTCATTATTTTATTCAGCAAGGACGCATTAAATTGCCATTTATAATTTTACAAAATCTTTCTATTTAAAAAATGCTGTTCTGTTGAACTTTCTATTAATCAAAGCTTCCACAAAAATGAGCAGAACAACTATTTTCAACAGGATAATAATGATAACAATGAGAAATGTTTCTTTAACGTTAACGTATAAGAAAGATTTCTGAAGGATCATGTGACACTGAAGGCTGGAGAAATTCAATTTTGCCATCACAGAATAAAATTAAATATATATATATATATATATATATATATATAAAGAGAGAGAGAGAGTACTAAGTTAGTTATTTTAATTTTTAAAATTATTTCACATATTGTTGTTTATATTTAAATAGCAGTGCAAATTTTGTAAGCATTTAAAGCCGTTTAATTTCATGTGTGCATTTCATGTGTGTTTCTGCAGCAAAGTTTCTTCATCATGTCTGTGTTTGCCGTTGCTCTCCTGGCCCCCGCCGGGTGGATTCTGCACCACATCCCAGAATATCGTCAGAGAGCAAAACCACCACCATCCTGAAGAACGCACACCTTCGTCACGGTCAACTTACTGGGTGTCGAGTACCACTGACAGACCTGGCTGCCTCTAAAGCATTATTCACCTCCAGTGAACAATTTAGATCTTTAAAACACAACATCATGAGCAACATCACAAGTAATAAAATAATAATAAAATAGAGAATAATAATAATTATAATAATTACATTAATAATAATAAAATGAATAATACCTTAATAAAATAATAAAAGTGTCCAATTGTTTATGGGAGGGAGAAACTGGCCCCATTTGCATCTAATAAGAACTTAAATTCCATGGTGTTTAATGCCTTAGGACTGTGGCCCTTATCACTGTATGCTTTCTCCTGTAATAAAGTTTCTGTTTTGGTTGATAACTTTGTGTTTTCACTGTGCTAATTGTTCTTGCCTTGGGGGCACTGCTTAGAAGCATACATAGAAATGAGATTTCTTGAGGAAAAATCACTTCAATAATGTCCCATAAGTTGGAGCAGACACTGAAAAAGGAAGCAGATTGATGCAGCTAATTCATAGGTGAAGGTTATTAGAAGGCCAGTAGGCAAGTTTTGGCATGACAACACTACCCTGGGATTTTTCATGACCACAATGAGTCAGAACCTCGGTTCAACATCTCATCTGAAGCACAGTGCCTTTTTACAGTATCCCATGCAGTGACTATTCTGGGGTCACTGGGACTCATACAGATCATAGGGTGAGCACCCCCTGCTGGGCTAAATAACACCAGCAGCTACCCTTAGTTTACCCAGGAGTCTCTCATCCAGGTATGGATTCAGCTCTACTTAGCTTCAGGAGAGTTGCAAGGTGATCACTGCCAGCTAAATGGCAAGCTACCACCCACACTGAGTATCTCGAAAGGTCTGTATACTTGAGGAAACTACACAGAACACTGATGTGCTTGATAACATCCAAAATACAAACATGATGCGGTCAATGTCCATATCCTCTTTGGAGTGAAGGAAACCCTATTATGTGACAGTCTAAGCCAAGGTCATAGTGGTCAAAAATGTTTCATTTTAATAATAATGCTGTTCACATGTACACTTTGTAATTTTTCCCCCCTGAAATTATGCTGAGCCATTTGAAGTGAAAAGAAATTAGTTTCAATTCAATGAATTCAATGTTATAACTAACTTATAACTAACCCTATAATGTTAATTTCAGTATTTACTAATACATTATTAAAATCAAAAGATGTCTTTGTTAGTATATATAATAGTATTTAATGGACCTGAGCTAACTTGAACATCTGTATTTTTATTAACTAACATTACATTTTTTAAAATAATAATAAAAAATAAATACTGTAACAATTGTATTGCTTAGTCGGTGTTAGTTAATGCATTAACTAATGATAACTAATGGGAACTTATTGTAAAGTGTTACCCAAATATGTGCTTTATTTATTTTGTTTACTCATGCCTGCTATAAGGGGAACATTAATGGACATTTCAGACATTTAGATGAGCAAGGAAATTGACTTTTTTTCAGCAAAATGGATATAAATAAAATGCCCTGTATCTTCTCTCTGTTATACCGACATTTTTCGGGATAGTAGCATACATGGGCTTGGAGATCTAGACATTAGACACTCAATTAGTCACTAAAATTAGTTGCTAAGTCTGGGGACGTTAGGATACAATCATTTTCCAAAGGCTATGGAGAGTGACCCTGGACTCAAGCACTTTAGAATCCGCATTGTTTGTTTATTTTTCCAGAACAGCAGGAACGTTGAGATTCAGCCTCATTGTGGTAACATGAATTTATTTCTGTTCTAACATTGTATAAATAAGTTTCCTTAAATCTTCATAAAGGAAACAACATGCATTCATTGTCTTAAGATATGTATAACAAAATAACCTAAACATCTGGTCAATTTTGCTGTTATATTATAATTTTTCATTTTGAAATCATTGCCCTGTGCCGTAGAACTGGGAATGAACTCACTAAAACTAGTGGCGTCTTAATAGCAGCATGACAGCAGACAGCTGTTATCATAATAGTGTATATCTTTTCCGCAGATTTATCAACTGAGTTGTGGTGCAGCAAAACACTATATTGCTGTTTTAATGTTTAAGTAATGAAATAATCAAATACCATCAGTTAAAATACTCTCATATGTCTACTATAGCATTGTCTGATTCATCCTACTGAGTTGGTTCACCTTCAACGGTCCTTTCTCTCATGAGCGTGCAGCTCTAGAAAGTCTGATTCATTCTAGTGAATTGGTTCATGATGAAAGGTCCTCTCTCCCACATGTAGCAATGGAAAGTCTGATTCAATCTAGTGAACTGGTTCATCCTAAATGGCCCATTCACTCACATTGCTTTGAAAAGTCTGGTTCATTCGATGATTCATTTAAATGAATAGATTGACAAAATGATTCACCAATTCGAACCCCAGTTGTTTTAGTTTTGGTAAGACTTACATGTTCAAGTTTGAATCTGTAACACTAATTGTTGTTAAATGAGCAAAAATATGCATTAACTTATACGCCTAAATTCTATCATTTTATTGCTTAGTAGACGTAATTATGAAAATATTACCCCCTTAATTTGATTTAATTTGCTAATTTTTGTCAGTATCTTGTAATGCAGCTAACTACTTTTTCAAAGCAGCTGCTTGACTGTAGTTTAACTACGTAAATTATGATTCTTGTAGCTTTCTGCATGAATTTTAGTGATTCCCCTGGGTCAAATTCAATAGTGCGTCACTCGTCCCAGTGTCTCCAGTTATAAGAGATTTCTTTTTTTTTTAATCCAGTATAGTGAAACTCAAAATGACCCACAGTGAAATAAAACAAGCAGACCCCCAAGTACTGTAAGTCCTGCAGCTAATTGTTCCAGAGAAACGCAATGGTTATTTTGTTAGGCTCTGTTGATTATGGAAAGTCAAGCAGAGTTTTATTATCATTGTCAAAAGTAGATTATCCATCATTAACCCAAGCGTCTCCTGTTGCGTATCAGTACAAATATTAAAAATGTGACAAGTGATGCTATATATAATTAATTTTAGATACATTTAATAATGCGCACTTGATCTGTATACTGAAAATAAAACAGAATTATGCTTCCTTCTTTTTCTGGCATGCTGCAGCTGATCTCTCAAAGATTAACATGTAAATAGCGGCAATACTGTCTCTAGAGCAAACATTGTTTCCTGATATTCCCACAACTCGGCACAGAATGTTCTTTCCCTCCTTCTAAATAAGACTGTGCTGGTGTCTGCTCTGCTTCAGACTAACAACATATCTGTTTAATAAAAAAGAACTATGAGTGAAAGGGCTGGATTTATTTGATATACATTATAATATGAAAAGGGACAGTGATTCATGTCAAATGTTACCACAGAGCTTAAAACACACACAGTGCCTTAAGGCGAGGATGAGCAAGATACGTGACCACAGTCGTGTGAATGTGTGTGTGCAGTATGTGTGCATGATAAATAAGTGAGCTCTAGGCGAATCGGTCTCTGGGGTGTGAGTGTGTTTGTATCTGTTTGCTGTGAAGATGTACACACAGTTAAGGTGCCATAAGGCTCACGCTTTCCCACACTGTAGGAAATTACATTTTAACTGAATTTTCATATTTATTTTTTTGTTTACGCCTTGGCGAGACCCTTTTCACCCTGTTTTTGTTTATGTATTGTACTTATTGGTAAAAACAACAATATTTTAAAATGACATTTTTGGGAAAAAGAAAATCTTCTCCAGGTCAAAATGACTGGAACACAACATGAAGGTTAAGTATTGTGAAAACATTACATTAAGTGCACTGATTTAGTGCTCTCTTGTGGTGTAACACTGGTAGTGAATGAAACTACGTACACAAAAGTTTTAAAGTAAGATTTTATATTAATTCTGCAGCTACATTTTTAATAATTTACATTTGTTCATTTACATGTCTTGAAATGCAGCAATGTTTTTTAAAACACTGTGTCCAGTCAAGGCAGTATAAAAAATAAAAAAAAGAAATCATGCGACACACAGCGAGACAGGCATATCCCTAAATGAACCATATCAGCATTTAGGGGCTTCCCCAAACAAGTCACTATCACATCCGAGTGGTAGATTATTAATAGCACAGAGGGCACAGAATAAATAGGATGGAACCCAGTCTAAAGCGCCATCAGACAGTAGTCTGAGTGCCTCGTCTTAATACAACCCCTCTAAATTTAGCCAGATGAATAATGCATCAAACCGTTTTTACTGTAGGCCTCTTTCAAAATAAAACCTAAAAATAGTCACCTAAAAGTTTCATAAATATAGACACAAATCTCAGATATGACCAGTACGAAAATAAGTGAGGCCAGGATATTTTTTAACACAATCTTCTCTTACGCCTTGGACCCTTTTCACCCTGTTTTTGTTTATGTATTGTACTTATTGGTAAAAACAACAATATTTTAAAATGATTAGAAATGTAATAAAGACCTAACAAGCTGAAGTAGAATTTATGAGCAGAAAAAGTGAATGAATTAATGCATTAATGCAAAAGCATTATTTAATAATTTTGGCAATGTTCCCTTAAAAACGGGGTTACTTTCGGATCAATGAGAAATACAAATAAAAAAAAGAAATCATGCGACACACAGCGAGACAGGCATATCCCTAAATGAACCATATCAGCATTTAGGGGCTTCCCCAAACAAGTCACTATCACATCCGAGTGGTAGATTATTAATAGCACAGAGGGCACAGAATAAATAGGATGGAACCCAGTCTAAAGCGCCATCAGACAGTAGTCTGAGTGCCTCGTCTTAATACAACCCCTCTAAATTTAGCCAGATGAATAATGCATCAAACCGTTTTTACTGTAGGCCTCTTTCAAAATAAAACCTAAAAATAGTCACCTAAAAGTTTCATAAATATAGACACAAATCTCAGATATGACCAGTACGAAAATAAGTGAGGCCAGGATATTTTTTAACACAATCTTCTCTTTTGTGTTATTCTCATCTTGTCTTCTTCTGTGCCTTACATACTTTTGTTTCTTATAATTTAGTGTCAGCATGAAGACTTAGATGGAGAAAAAAATTATTGCTGAAACTGCATTGCCGTTATCACAGCTTCACAAGAGAGATAAATGCTATTATCAACACTGAACTCATTGCTTGGTTTGCTAA